TCAAACATTTGAGAGAGTTCCTTCTTCTATTTTCTTAGAGCGAATTTGCGTCGTTGTTGCGAACATCGAAATTGACATAAGTCGAGAGAACATAGGAGACAAGAAACCAAAAGGAACATAAATATAGTTACACATTGGCTTTTGATGAAAAATAACCCTTGTTTATATAATGCAAAGTTAAAAAAAAATACAAGAGAAAATGGAAGAGGTATGCATTTCGATGGATCGCCATATATATAGGATAGTAAACCAAATATATTCAGATAGGAGTAAAGTGAAAAAGGATGAAATCAAGCTTCAAAGACTTTGCATTCCAAATCAGCCGGGTTTGTCTTGCAGAAATCCTCCAAAGGGTCTTTGCTTCCGGCGGATACCTCTCCTGGCCACTTGGTGGCCACTAGGTGAGCCAAATCGACTACCCTTTGGCTGTCATTGTGCCACAAGTTAGGCATCAATTGTTTCTAAAAATTGTACATATTATGTGAGTATTGCATACCTGTAGCCCCACTCATTGTCATACCAAGCGACCACTTTGACCATATCATCACCCATAACCATTGTAAGGGACGAGTCAATGGTGGTAGAGACATCAGAGCACCTGAAATCACAAGAGACAAGGGGTGTGTCGCAAACGTCTAAGATGCCCTTGAGCGGTCCTGCAGCAGCTTTTCTGAAGGCCTCATTAACGTCCTCTGCGGTCAAACCTTTCTTCGCAACGTTCACAACAAGGTCAACCACCGAGACGTTTGGGGTCGGCACACGGAGTGCAATGCCGTTGAGTTTACCCTTCAGCTGCGGCAGCACCAATGACACCGCCTTCGCTGCACCAGTGCTTGTCGGTACTATGTTCAACGCTGCTGCTCTTGCACGTCTTAGGTCTCTGTGAGATGCATCTAGAAGCCTCTGAAACATTGCAAATATATATTATTACTGTTTGGATACATCACATCAGATAAACATTACAATTCTTTCTAGTACAAGGAAGAGTATGTGAAAACATTGTTTGGATTTTGAAAGTATGTGAGAATTATATTACTTGGTCACCGGTGTAGGAGTGTGTCGTTGTCATTGTCCCCTTGACGATTCCTGTAAAGTAGTGAGCAGAGGAAACAGTTTTTCAACATGTAGTGAGCATTTAGTAAATAGAGAAGAGAGGAAAACAAGTGTGTACCAAATTCTTCATCCAAGACTTTCGCAAAAGGAGCCAAACAGTTGGTGGTGCAAGATGCATTGCTACCAAAAGAGAGAAGCAATGAATACTCAAAACTGATCAACTTTGTCTCATTTTTAAAGTAGTTTTATTAAACCGACCTAATGATGTTAGCGACGTCGTGCGCATAGTCTTGCTCATTAACTCCCACAACATAGGTAGGGATATCAGCACCTTTGGCTGGTGCAGTGATGATCACTTTCGAGGCTCCAGCTTGGATGTGCTTTCCTGCTCCTGGACCATCTACAAAGACTCCTGTTCCCTGATCAATATATGTATCATTTACTATTAAGTTTCTTTGACATTTCCCATGGAGCTTTGGAAAAAGGTTAAGCACAAGTTACCTCGATAACAATGTCAATGCCGAGCTCAGCCCATGGAAGCTTAAGAGGGTCTCTGTTGGAGACAACCTTGATGGGCTTACCATCAACGCTGATAGTTTCATTGTCCACTATTTTGACCTCAGCCTTGAAGGTTCCAAGCATGGAGTCATACTTGAGCAAGTGGGATGCCTGCAATTTCATCAATGTTTTGAGAGGCGAGATCACAACACTGACTTGTTTTATTAGGGACTTACGTTCTTGACACCGCCGCTGTCGTTAACCACAATAACATCGAGAGGAGAGTCCTTGCGGCCGTGCCAACATCTGAGAAAGTTCCTACCAATCCGTCCAAACCCATTAATTGCAACCTTCAGTTTGGCCACCGTCTCTCCTCTAACAGAAGTGGATGTTGTAACAGCCTAATATTGCAGACACAATTATATAACAAACTCATCTCATATATATGCACATTCGTAACAACACAGCAAGATTCAACTAATCAATCACCTTGGGGACGATTTGTGCAGCTATGGCATCGAAGAAAGATGCATCCCCACTGTTATTGCTGGCTCGCAGGCCGGAGAATTCAGCCACTTGTAGTCTCTGTACAGTTAGTAACAAGAGAAAACAGATCAACAAAATTTGACAGAGGTAGAGAGGCATGTACAAGGACAAGGTACCTTGGAGGAGCATTGAGCAGGGAAAGAGTGAATGGCACTCTTTGACTGCAGCCTCGGATTGGCCGGTATTCTTGAGACGGCAAGAGCTGCATGTGTGGCCATAGCTGCTAGTGAAACAAGATGAAAAATCTAGGATTGCCACTCAATTTTTGAGCTCTGCCCATATATACATACATACACACCTTTCATTTCAAACCAAAGGAACCTATGGTTCAAAGTGAAGCAAAGGAATATGTGGTTATTATGTAGGTAAGATGCAAAGGGGATAAGATGGTGGTAGTCATAGAACATTAGTCATCACAGGTCTCTCAAGCACTTTTTTGTTGTTGTTTCAGTGTCATATGTCTCTTCAGGAACTTAGCTCAGAATCTAGAAATTAACTACTCCCCTTAAAGGATTTTGGCATAATTATGATATCTTTCGTCACGCACAGAAGAAGGCAGTCGTTTGAAGATAGACGAAAAATTGTACAACATTACACAGAAATAGCAAACAATTATTGTGACCATAAGTGATAAAGTTCCTCAAACAGATATTTCAGACTGTAGCCTCGGCTTCATCGGTGCTTAGAGCTGCACCATTCGGGGTATCTTCTGACTTGAGCTGAGAGGACACATCGTCGATAGCAGAGTTGAGCTGAGCAATTTTCTCAGCCAGTACCTTCCGTGTTTTCTGCATTAACAGTACACATTATTGTTAGCAAATGAATCGACAAAAAGCTTAGCAATATATTCTTCTAATATACATCAAACTGCATCAACGACTGTCATAGTGATTATTACAACTCACCTCCAAAGCTTTTTCTTCGTCATATATGAATTTAGGCAATTTCCTCATGAGATCCTTTCGGTCTGCTCCAGCTATAGCCTTGCTGATCTGAAATAATTCACATAAATAACATCACACATTGAACTTCTTCAACATCTCAGCATAATACATATAAAAATACATCTGCTCCAGAGATTAACGGATTGAGCTCTAGAAAGAGTGATCAAAGTAAACCATGTGTAACAGAATATCACCTGTGGAGCAAATACACATCCAAGGGCACCAACTATGAGTCCACCCAAAATAAACCCTCCAACAAATAGGCCTGTGCTTCCTGAACCATCATCATCTCTGCAAGATTTGATAATATTAGACATTGCATACGGACTGCGTTAAACATGAATTGCCAATCGAAAAGTAAAATATATTAATTGTTATTCAGGGGGTACACTGTTTATAGTCAAACCATCCGCACTCTCAATTCAGAAACAAGAAACACACCTTATGATTGAATTAAACTTTCATCATAAGGGTAATCATTCACCAAAGCCCAAAAAATAGAGCAAATAAGAAGAGGATTAAACTCTTTAGTTACCTGTATGCAGATTGAATGGTTAGGATGGTTTTGTTTCTAGGGGCAGTACAATGCAGTTTGTTGGAGCGATTCAGTCCAAAAGAAACACTGACACTACTTGGCTTCAGAGAAAAGCCTAGCGTTAGCACGAACAAAGATTAGACAACCGTGCAAGCGAGAGGGAGATGGTACTCTAGAAGCCACTTCCGGTATGAAAAATCATAGACTTATTATACATCTGAATCAAAAGATATCAGCTGGACTGGAAAAAGAAGCACAGAGGCGTGCCTGAAGGGATCTAAACTATGGGAACTAACTTAAGAAAGTGATTCAGAAACAAAATATTCAACAATTCGATCGTTTCAATAAAGACTCATCTTCTTCAGCCAAACCTATTCAGTTTCTAAAATCTGCATCATGATATGCATATCCAATTATTTTCCACCCTGATTTGCCAATAGCAAAAAAAAAAAAAAAGTAATCTGGCTCAGAAAATCCACAATCAAGTTGAGAAAATCCTTGGTTTGTGTATTCGCTAAGTCGTAAGATTATGTATGAGCTTGGACGAATAGTCAGAATCGCGTAACCTGGCGGGTGATAAGATCTCATCCACGCAAACGAAAATAGCAACGAAGATTCAATAGAGAGATCGACTGAGGAAAAGGATTTTACCAGATGATGGATGGAGCTGTTGAGCATTCCTCGGAAGGGAGAGAGAGGTAGAAAGAGCCGCCATCGGAGGAAGAAGCTCAGATCCTAATAGCAGTTGGGAGGACGTTCGATGATATCTAAGCTACTACACACAGCTTTGATTCAGTGGTAATAATAATCTACTAAATACTAAAATCTGAGGTACTTTAGGGGAAAAAAATAAACTAATGTTTTTTTTTTGAAAAATAGATCTCTAATATATATAATTGATTAT